CGAAACTGAAAATTTAACAGTAACCACACACATACTTAAAGTGACATACACATCTAAACACTTATATTTACACTACAGATGTAAGAAACAAAATCACGAAGTAACGACCTCATACATATACAGGTGGTTTCAAATAGTAACAAAGACATGGAGAATTTAAACATTCTTTACACCGACCAGAAATCCATTTTGGGTATAGCCACTTTTTAAGCCCAACGAGTCTCTCCTTGGCAACTAGTTTGTCACAAGGTCACTGATTGTCCAGAATAGTCTAGATGTATTTTCCCTTGCTGGGGCAAATCAAGAATCATTTCTGAATAAGTCAGTAGAACACCTGTGACAGATTATATTTGAAAAAAGTACTAGTAGAAATCCCCATTAACCCCTTTGTGATGGGAGACGTACACAAAGTGCCCAATTGACTGGCCACGTACACATTTGCGGCTCTGCAATGCTGGTAACCGCTGAGCTCCCCCTCCTGCAATGCCTCACCTTCAATCCCGGGATCCGCTACCCCATCTGTGGCCAGGGACCGGCTCGGGAGGGTGTCAGGAGGTAAGTTGGGAGGGAGATCAGCATTTTCCTCCTAGCTGATTACCCTCCGTACTGTGAATGTGGAAGTGATGTGTAATACATCACTTCCGCATTCACCTGTCAGTCATCTGGCTGCTATAGCCAGTGAGAAGACGCTGATGAAGATCTCTGCTTCATCAGCTACTTTGGGGGTCCCCAGGTAACATTAGGGGTCTTCGAGACCCCTAATGTCTCCATAAAGAGGACCCGTCAGTGTGCCTTTGCTATTATATAGGGGGATTGTTATTCCCCTATGTAATAGCAATGACAATAAGTGTAAAAAAATAAAATAAAAGTCACATATAAAAAAAAAAGTTTTAAAAAGCCCCACCCCCGCATTTACGCACATATAAACGTAAATACGTTTCGATGCGCCAGCGCGAGAAAACGACAATTGCGCTTCACATGTTACATATCGCAGCGAACGTCGGAGTGAGCGCAATAATTTTAGAGCCAGCAATCACTGATAACACTAAACTGATAAGCGGTAAAAGCTTTTAAAGCGTCACCTATGGCCAATTTTGGCTATTGTAGCCTTTTGAGGTTTCGCACGCGCACGCAATTTTGAGGCTTGACATGTTTGGTGTCTTTTTACCCGACGTGGCCCCGTCTTTTATATTTTAGCAAAAAATTGGGTAATAATAAATGTTTTATAATATAGGGGGAAAAACATTTTTCCGGTAATTTTTCCTTAATATAGTAAAAAATAAAAACCCCAGTGGTGATTAAATACAACTAAAATAAAGCTCTATCTGTCCCCAAAATATGGTATAAAATGAATTTCAGTACAGCGTTGCATGACTGAACAAATGTCAAAGAACCGCAGCGCTGAAGACTGAAAAATGTCCTGGACAGGAAGGGGGTTTAACACCGCGGACTTCAAGTGGTTAAAGTTTTAAGCTTTTTCAAACACCCGATCGCTTTAAGTGATCAGGTGTCTAAAGGTGCCCATACACTGCACGATTATCGTACGATAATCGTATGCGATCGGTTTTTCGTACGATAATCGAGCAGTGTGAACGGACACGTGCGACCGTTTCTACTGTACGGTCGCACGTCTTCCATCGAACCAGCATGTTCGAAAACCAGCCGGGAATCGTACGATTCTCAGCTGGTTAGAACGGTGCTCGGAAGACAAATGCCGAACGGGCCGTTCAGCATTGCGGTCATCGGAAGCCCGCCCCTCAGGGGGGCGGGCTTGCGATGATCGAGAGTCCGATCTGCCTGTCCAAGATAGGCAGATCGTACGTTTTTTTAATCCCTGTACAACCATCGCAAGACTAAAGTCTTGCGATGGTTGTAGAGTGTATGGCCACCTTTAGAGTTCAGGTGCTCCATTGAAGGCTACTGTTAATGTTACAGCATACAAAGACATTTTAGATAATTGTGCATGTCCAACCTTGTGGTAACAGTCTGAGGAAGGTCCTTTTCAGTTCCATCATGTTTGTGTCGCTGTTGTCAAGTCCAGTTCTATATAGATATGGTTTGGGATGGAGGAATTTCTGCAAAGAGCCCTGACCTCAATTCTATTGGCCACCATTGGGATGGACCTGCGCGCTTGCCGGGTCTTCTCGTCCGACATCAGTACCTGACTTTACAAATAGTCTTTTGAATGGGCACCAATTCCCAAAGATACACTACCAACTCCTATGGAAAGCCTTCCAAGAGTGGAGGATGCTACACGCACCAAGGGAAATGGGTTTATTTCTATGGTAATTCATTTTGGTTTGGGATGTTTACCAAGCTCACATAGGTGTGATGGTCAGGTGCCCACAAACCTTTGGCCATATAGTTCATAGGAAACCTGCATTTGATTTAACTTGCCAGCAATCATTTAGAACTGACATTTTACAGGTTTATTCACAAAAGGGTGAAGAGTTTGGAGAAGGCAGGAGAAGGGAACAGTCTAGGACAGTGGTGGCGAACCTTGGCACTCCAGCTGTGCCAAAACTACAAATCCCAACATGCATCTGCCTCTGGGAGTTATGTCTGTGGCTGTCAGAGCCTTGCAATGTCTCATGGGACTCGTAGTTCCAAAACAGCTGGAGTGCCAAGGTTCGCCACCACTGGTCTAGGACAACATAGCGGATTTGGAAAAATTCTCCAATTCAGCTCACTTTCCAGTTCAGCGATGTTCTCCTAGATTGTTCACTTCTCCTGCCTTCTCCAAACTCTTCACCCGTTAGTGAATAAACCTGCTAGTTTATGGAATAAGTTGACCTTTAGAGTTGTATCCTTTCTTTACAATTACAACAAAAATAATTTAAACACACAGAAAACAAGCAAACAGTTTGGTAACTACAAACTTAGAATTCAAGTAGTTAAAATCCTGTAGTAATAAAAGACATGTCAAGGCAATTAAAGATAAAGCTCCCTTAACCCATACACAATATGTAAGGAGCAGCAGTGCTGAACAATTATTGCTGTTGTGATAGTTAGTGCTAAAATGAAGGCTTCAGTATTACTTGTAAGTGACCCCATGCAAGGTGACCAATAAAGTACCTTTGAGCATTAAGTCCTCAGTGCCACTATATTCCAGTCCAGTTTAAAGTGAATCTTGATCCACCAATGTAACGGTCCCAAAACAGATACTTCTTAAGGTGCCCATATATATCGATTTTCGTTTGGAAATAATCCACCAATGGTCTTTCTAACGATATCGGTCAGTTGATGGGACCACCAACGATTTTATTTACTGTACTCCTACCCGAATTTTGACGATCGGTCAGGCTGGAAAACTTTTTGCTAATTGTGTCAAAAATCGAAAAATAAGAGGCGTTCATGTAGCAAAAAGAATATCTCAGCAAGAACAGCGCACATGCGCAAACGAAAATCCATTCTGTCAATTGATAAAATTCGGTGAGTTAGAATTGCTAACGAAGAATTATGGAAAACACATTGGTCTGTGCTTGATGGCCTATTTGAGCTATAATCGAACAAGGGTTTTTGGCGGCAACAAAAATTTCCGATGGAGAATCTATAGGTGTATGGCCAGCTTATGGCATGGCAAGGTTGCCAGTGGGCTTATTTCAGCCCTCAACAGAACTTGTAAGCCCTCAAATGGCTGGTGTCATATGTGTAGCACCATCATGGCACCTGCAATCTAAATAGAGGCTAAGATGGCACCTTCCTTGTCTGTAAAGGATAAGAGGGTGTAGTTGCACTTTAACATATGGATGTGGTGGAAGTCTCAGCACATTATCACTGTAGACAGAATGGCATAGTTAGAAGAAGCAGCAAAGGTAAGGAACAGAAACCAGCACAGGCATCTAAGCTCCTCACAGTAAAGTGGTTGCAACAAAGGCCCCACCAGGCCATCCACCTCCTACATCATTCCGTTCATGTCAGATACATGCAATAATGGTAAAAAGCAGATTTAAACCCAGTTATTAAAATCTCATATAAGCGTTAACATGTTAGTGTCATTTCAAAGTTGTTTTAAATATAATTTAAAAACCTAGTGATGCTGTCACTTCTCGTTATAGGTTGGCAACATTCTGTTCTCATCTTCCAACTTTACTTCTCTGTTGTCACCCTGCCACAGGTGTGACGACACACATTGCGCAGGCATGGTACACCACTTTCAGGTAGCCAGTCCAAAACACTGAAGTGCAGCTGATGCTGGAATAAACTAATGCATGTAGACAAGAAGTGGCTGATAGGAGTTCAAGGAGATCTGCATCACTGATCGGTGAAAGTCTAAAGCAGGGGTAGCCAAACCCCGTCCCTCCAGCTGTGGTGAAACTACAAATCCCATGATGCATTTCTCTCTCTCTCTCGGAGTCATGTCAGTGGCTGTGAGAATCTTGCAGTGTCTCATGGGATTTGTAGCTCCACCACAGCTGGAGGGTTGGAGTTTGGCAACCCCGGTGTAAAATGTATCCAAAGTCAGATTTTCTCCTTAGCTTTTGATGGAGTTAAAACTGCTTAGGTTTTTTTGTTTTGTAGGGAAGATTTCCCTTCCAGGGACACAATAGAAAGTGAGACCATTGTCCCCAGAACAAGTGTCCCCACTGGAAGACACCTGTGGATCTTCCCTTAATTTCAGTCCCACGGACAATGGTTACCCGAACAAAAAGGGAGGGTGAGCATCCCCAGCGGGGGGCGCAGAGGGCATTATAAATCTGACAAAAGTTCCAACCCCTCACAACTCTATCCAATAAAAAAAGCGGTGGCTTTAGATATACTTTAAGTATTTTAGAGCATTTTGAAATATCAGTCAGTGAGAGCTGTGGACTACAAAGCTCACCACATGTAACAAGGTGACTGTAGAATCTCCTTTAGATCTACCAACTATGTAGTGCAAGGGCCTGCCTGACTGGATACAAGTTGATTGAATAGTTTAGGTAGGTGCTCATATATCATGCTTTTGGTAAATCTAAAGGAGATTGTATAGTCAGGATGTAACATATATGATGAGCTATCGTACCAAACAGTTCATATTTAAAAATAAAACAGCAAGTTATTTCCAAAAAAGTCAGTAGCTAATAAATTATCAAGCACACAATAATCTTGGCATGATCATGGCAAGATCTAACCCACTACCCTTCATGTTAAACTGTGCCGATAAATCCCACCGCAATTCCATTTAGTCTAATCAGTGCATATAGAACTATTTTGGGGCACAGGATCCTACAGACAATGCTCAGCAGCCTGACCACCATAAGCACATGGGGCTCTTAAGACTTAAGGTGAGCGTTGGTCCCAAATGAATAGGACGAGTTAAACGACAGTCTGGGTGACGGACTGCACAGATCCTACTCGGTCAGAGGACACAGATCGGTTACTCATCTCTTGCTGAAGCTCTTCCAACTTCTTCTGCAGCTCCACTCGCTTAGCAAGCAAATCCTTACAGCGGCTGTTGATAGCATCCTACAGGAAATAGTCAGGTAGTCAGTTGCCGGAGTTTCCAAGAAATAATGAACATGGAGATAACGAAACTTACACATGCAGCAAACCAACCCAAACTAAAAAAGTTTAATGCAGTTACTATTTGGTCTATTTAATAGCCTGGAAAAAATAAAATGTAACATGTGGCATGTGTAGTAGTATGTCTGGGCACCCCCATATAGTGAGTATTTAGCAGCGACCTCTTTGTAGAAAGCACAGCCTCCAAATGTTTCATCTAATCAGTAAACCGCCTTTCTATTCTGAACCCAAGAATGTATGTCTAGTTCTGAAATAGGCATTTATATCTAATCACCTCATTTGGCAAGAGTTGTCTACACTTTGGCGTACAACTGTAAAATAATGATACATACATGTGGCTTAGTCCTTGGGTTCCACCTTACGTAATATTCTGCCCAGAGCTGAAGGTGCCTAGTGCTGGTCACTGGGGACAAGACATGGTCAGAGTAATCCACAAACAGAGGATTAGTAAAGTCTTCAAGTTGACCATTGATGTAAGACCACAAGGAGACCGTCTCTTCTGGCACGGACTAAATTCAGACAAAACAAAAGAAAGTTAAGAGGAATAACCGAGATTCACAATTTAACTTCAAGTGACACTAAACTCAGGAGTTAAACCATAAAAACTGCATTCATGTACTTTAAGTATTAATTAGTGGGGTGCATGTGATCTATAAAGTACTACGTGTCCCCAGTTGTTTACAAACATTGCTGATCACTCCAGTCACTCCAGTGTTTGTTCTGCACACAGAGGATCAGTAAATATCACAGATATTTACTGATCCTCCCGCTCTCCATCCTGACCCTCTCGGCCACGCACAGATCAGAGACACTCGGCCAGGATCTGACAGCTGGCGGCTCTCTGTTCTCCTCCCGCTCGGCCATCCTGAATGTCATGACTCCCTCCTTCACCGGCTTCAGCTGTCGTTTTCTTCTCAGATCCCCGCTGCTCTCCCCCGCCTGTATGGGCTGAGGTAGCGGGGTAACAGATCCCAGCATGGGGTGACTCTGGGAAGGCAGGAGAAGCTGGGAGATGCCGGCGGTGCCAGAGGTGGACAGACGGAATTTTTGTCAGCCGCTGATGACCGCTATTATTTTACAGGGTCCCCTCTGATACAAGTTCATGGTTGCTAAAGTGACCACGAGCTTATGGCAGAAGGGTGAAAGCCACCAACGTAAGGCTTACTGACGTGGCTAGCTGCAAGTGGTTGTGTTCCGCTGTAAGCCTTACATCGGTGGCAGCCAAAAGGTCAATATTTGCTCCCCTTTGGCCTGTGAAAAACACCACTGAAAATGTTTTGTTATATCGGCTTGATAAGTTAAAAAAAACCTGTTGATTCTGCCAGAAATCTGGTGAACTGATAACTTCCTGTGCTCTCTGCCTTGCTGACTGTTAATTACAATGTTCTCAGGTATCCCTACCAGAGGACTTCCAGAACCGTGCCCCTCTACCTTATGTAGAATGGGAGAGGGGTAGTATTGTGGTCTGGATTCTGTTGTCCTTATACAGTATGGTGAAGGAGTGGTGTCATGCTAGGACAGGGAGTGTGTTACTGACAGAATCACCAAGTCAAAGTAAAAGGAGAAATGCATAAAAAAGAAAACTTCAATCTTGGAGGATTTACCTCTTGTAGTCTTTGCTGCTCACTGTCACTCAGGAAGGTTCCAAACAAGCAGCTGTAAAGGTGATCCAGAATAGTTAGCAGAAAGTGTTCATTAAATTCAAACGCATGAGGAAACTGTGGATAGAAGCGGCATGAATTACTACAGGGAGAAAGTCAAAACATGTCCAAGACATGACCAAGTGTTAAAATAGAAGAAATGGGGCTCTTGCTACTTGTGCAGCATAGCTAACAGTAGTTCATCACATTCAACTGGACTTGTCATGGCCTCTCCAAGCCACTTCTTCAGTTCCAATGAGTGTCAGAAAGATAGCTCAGCATTTATATCCACATAGGTAGCACAGGCACCTGAGTCCAAGCCCCACGGAATGTGTAACGGCAGATGTAAATTGTCCATGAACAGAATGGGAGGTGCGAAAGTTATGGAACCCCCATTTTCTTCTTGCATAACCCCATGTTTGGTGTCAAGAAGTATGCAAAGGTGTTAATTTCACAGATTACATGTGGAAGGTAGATGGTATTACAACTTTCCCACCTCCCATCCTGTTTTTGGACAATGAACATCTACATGTTCCATGGTGATTGGTTTAAAGTGTCTGTGCTAAATGAGTGGATATAATGCTTGGGTATGTTCCTGACACTCATTGGAACAGAAGAAGTGGCTTACAAAAGCTACAAAACTTGTTTAAACAGCCCCGATGCTGGCGACGTACACTGTACGTCGTCAGTCACGAAGGGGTTAACATTAAAGTGACATTAAAGTCTAATGATTCCTCTTGATCCGATCATCTTCTTCTTTCCTGTAGTTTTCAGTAGTCCCTCTAACGCTGGTGCCGGTCTCTGATCCACCGCTGACTGCTGTGTATTCTGCGTCCCAGAGTGTCTGCGCAGGAGCACACTGCCAGGCTGCCTGCATTGACTTACCCTGCGTCTCTCCTCTTCTCCAGGCCGAAGATCTCTACTGCGCATATGTCCGCCCCATGATACTTTGTGGCCGCCCGAGAATCTTCAGATCTTCGGACGGGAGCGCAGCGGAGACACAGGTAAGTTTAAACCTATTTGGTAACTTTTTTTTGCATATATCTACTGCTTGTTAGGAGTAGATACATGCAAAAAACAGCGAGGCCTTGATTATCCTTTAAAAGAACAGGTCCAGTAGTATGTGACTAAATACTGCTAGCTGTACCGTGACCTGATAAATCAGAACCTTCACAGACACTTGTTAAACATCTTTAAATCGCACCCAAGTCACTTTCTACTGTACCACATTCATACAAATAATGTACACCTTGACATTCTTTAACTGAGCTGGCTTCCTGTATATATCGCCTAACACTAAAGCCTGAACCAAAAATGTAACCCCAAAACGGAGCTTAACCCCTTCATGACTGAGGCCTTTTTTTCATTTTTTGTACCCATGTTATATTCCACATTTTAGGCCTGAAAATTACTTAAAACCCCCCAACATTATATATTTTCTGAATGCCAAGACCCTATAGAATAAAATGGTGGTAGTTGCAAATGTTTATGTTGCGCAATATTAGCGCAACTCCTTATTAAACCCCAATATTTAGTGAAATATTTAATTAAATGCCCCAAAACACAACAAAATACCCATTTTTTTAATGAAATATAAAAGATGAGGTTACAACGAGTAAAACGATACCCAACATGCCCAGGTTACAAATTGCGTGCATCCGTAAAACGGCGAAAAACCCCAGTACCCCAAAAAGTCCATAGAAGACGCTTTAAAAGCCCCCACAGGTCATCAATTTAGAGATACCCCAAAATACTGGCCCTAGAATTATTGCTCTCACTCCGGCGTGCGCGGCGATACCCAACATGTGTAGCGCGTTCGTCGTTTTCATACGTAGGCGCACCCGACGCGTGTTTATGTGGCGACGCGCGTGCTCGCGGGGGCGGGGGACTTTTAAATTTTTTTTTTTTATTATTAGATTTATTTTATTTAAATTTAATTTAAAAAACTTTTTTTTTTTTTTCTTTACTTTGACTGCTATCACATGGGGGGGCTTACAAGCCCCCCCATGTGATAGCAGATGGTGGTGACAGGTACTCTTTAAGGTGATGCTGGGGGTCCAAAAGACCCCCAGTGTCACCTTTACACTGGAAATAAGCTATTGAAGTGCAGATCGCACTTCAATAGCTTATAGCTGGGCTGCAGGAGCCCAGAACTGACAGCCCAGGGACCGGAAGTGATGCAATCTGCATCGCTCCCGGTCCCATAGAACGGGGAGGGGATCGATGAACGGAAGTTCGTCGACCTCCTCCCCAGCTCCCCGCGGACACCAAGATCGCCGGTCCCGGACCCGTAGGAGGGGCAACGGAGCCTGGGAAGCACGGCGGGGGTGTCCGGCGGGGGGTGGGGGGAGGCCCCTTCTTCGGGACGCAGAAGCGATCTGGTGACAGGTAAGTCGCCAGGATCGCTTCTGTTGTAAAGCCGACAGTCGGCAAAAGTCACCGGGAGTTTGTTTAAACAGCCCCGATGCTGGCGACGTACACTGTACGTCGTCAGTCACGAAGGGGTTAAAGTCCGGTAGAAACAAGCCTTCTATATGAGCATAACAACTCACCTGCCTCGTCATTTGCCAAACACAATCAATGAACTGCAGGAACACCGGGGACCTGTCAGCATCCGCATGGTTCTTGTCACCATGGCCAACTCTCTTCAGTGAGGAAAGAAAACAAAAAAAAAGTCTGTAAGATTCTAAAGGTAACTAATATCAATACTGGAAAAGGGAAAAAAAGTAATAGATTCTGTAAGGAACTCCTCCGAGATCATTCTGAAAGGACAGTGAAAATAATCTACATAACACATGGGATTCTAATCTGATTATACTGCAACTGAACCAAAAACACTCCTCTATTAATACTGTGACATTTGCTTTAAATAACAGTCTCATGAAGTGCTCTTTAATATCAGAGTCCGTGCATCCAATCCACTGAAGTAAACTTCTGATTATCCACACCACCACTCAGGGAAAATAGACACCGCTGGAGAAGAAGGCCGATAAAGTAGAAGGCTTTCATCAGGTGTAAAGGTGCCCATACACCTTACATTTATCTGCAGATTTTCTGTGGTCAGATGGAAAAAGTGCAACAGATTGGCCCAGGTGGAGATTACTCCGTCCACACAGTTAAGTGTAGATGGAGGAATCTGTTGCACCTTTTCCATGTGACCACAGAAAACCTGCAGATAAATTGTAAGGTGTATGGGCAGCTTTAGTGCATCCTTTCTTCCTCTCTGACCACCTCTTCTCATTCTTGCCTCCTAAAGTTCTCTCGGTTTGCGGCCTTGTCTGGGATTCCCTTCCACCTGCCATCATCCTTTAAGTGTTTAAAGCCCAATTGAAGTCAGAATCTGCACATTTAATGAGCAAATATGGACACTAACCCTGCCCTTCCCGTACAGACCACCCTCCACCTTTTGTGTTCAGACCACCTCCCACTCCTGTTATTTAATAAAAATAACCTCATACATATCCTTAATCCTGCTGGCTTCTGGTCATGGCTTCTTTCCTCTTCTAGGGCATTCCTTACCGGACTGAGTGGCAATCCCAAAATGACATGCGAGTGCTGTCCTCTCTAGGAGTACCATGAGCCCAGACTGGACACCTTGGCCTCTCGGCAAATGGGTTACAGTGAAATCTGCAAAAGCTTTTTTAAAGAAGAAGTCTTTCTTAACGCTTGCAATCTTTAAGTGCTCCTTTGTTTCTAGGTGCAGAACTACAAACGTTATACTACCCAAACCAAGGAGTCAGCCAGCTGTCAAAACGCTCCTTCGGGCCTGTTTCCCCCTCTTCTGCAGTGATGGAATGCCCCTCAGTGTCCTCACGTCCTATACACAGTGTATAGAATGTAATGACTCATGTTGTTAGAGGCTCCAGGGAGCGGTTTATCAACAAGCTGGCACCAAGGATCCGGTCCTGGATGTTGTTAGGCTCCGGTCTAACAACAAGCTGGCTCCAAGGATTGGGTGAGTATAACTGTTACTTTTGCACCTAGACACAAATGAGCACTTAACCCTTGCAGTGCGGGATAGCCCCATTACAAGGGTTAAGAAAATGTTTGCCCGGAGTTCCGTTTCAATTTCTATTTTTTTTGCCGCTACTGGGTTTTTACTAACTGTAGCAAAAAGGTAGAGTTGGGCTTTAACCAAATATATATATTCCTTTCTAAGCATTCATTATCGTAAGCTAGCAACTGACAGCGCTCTAACATTATACACATTTTACGTCCAGGTACGGGCCCTGTGGTACATATTTACAAATATCAATATCCAATTTACAGGAAGTAACACGTTGCCTTGGCTTACCGAGTCTTGCTTGACAAACCGGTTTCTAAGCGTGGGGATGACTCAGTCACGGATTGCTGGTGTATTTTAACATGTAATTAGAGAAATATATTTTACCCCGAGTAATGACGCAAACTTACAAGATAGAACCTGTGGCCAAAGCTGAGCCATTCCTTCTCCACCAGAACTTCGAAGCCGCGAATGGTGCGGTAGTAACCGTCCAGCATGAGCATGGCGAGAGAAGTGAGCTGTGCAGTGCGGTCCCAACCATCGCTACAGTGAACAACCGCTGAGGTCTTCCCAGATTCCACTTTGTCAGCTATCCGCAGGGCTCCGGCCAGGATGGACTACAATGACAAGAGTGGAGTAATAAACTTCAATTAGTACAGATGATTGTATGAAACCTTGCTGCTATTGCTTTGCAGTTTACTACCTAAAAGGAAAGACAGGAATTTAAAGTGGACCTAACACCAAAAAGTGAAGATTTCCTATATAATGGTGTATGTGCCTAAAGCTGGCCATACACCTTACAATTATCCTACGATTTTTTCGTCCTGTCATTGAACCGTCTGATTGCCACACGACTGCCCCATCATGCACAGACCAATGTGGATTTCAATTGTCGGTCATTAGCAATACTAACTCACCGAATTACGCCGATCGGCAGAATAGATTTTCGTTTGTGCATGTGTAGTGTTCATGTTGCGATTTTTTTTAGTACGAAAACGCCACTAATCCATCGATTTTTGTACGATTCGAAAAAGTTTTCTAGCCTAACCGATAGACGAAATTCGGCCAGTTGTTCAGTAATTGTGATCGTTCACTTCCCATCAACTGGACGATTATCGTCCGAAAACCGGATTTATTCGGAATTAGAACAATAATCGCAAGGTGTATGGGCACCTTAAGGCTAGCCATACATGCACACATTTCTATTGTTCAACTCAAACTGAAAAAGAGAAATCTAATACATTCCTCCATCCACGCTTGATCTCCCCTGCCAGCTATTGTATTCAGGCAGCCAGCACCCGTGTGCCCATCTAAATACCTGAACAGTGACGGCCTCGGCTTGATTGCATCCATTGTTCAGCTGAATTTTCCACAGTTAAGTGCAGAGTTGTCAGGTTTACAAGTCCCAATGGTGGTTAGGTACATTTATAGTACAGAAGCCATGAGCTAGTGCAGTTGAATAAATCATTGGGTAAGCCATTTCCACAGCCAAAGAGATTGGTCGGGAAAGCAAAGTGGGGCAGGGTGTGGTAGGGGAGGATCACAGGGGAGAGATAAAGAAGAACCCCAGAAATGTTTTTTGATTAACCTTGCAGTGAGGCTACCCCCACACTGCAAGGGTTAAGTGCTCGTTTGTGTCTAGGTTAAAAAGTAACAATTATACTCACCCAATCCTTGGAGCCAGCTTGTTGTTAGACCGGAGCCTAACAAGTTATACTCGCCCGATGCTCTGAGCCGGCTTCTTCTTAGACCGGTCCTTCCAATGTCTCTCCCCCTCCTCTGTAGCGGTCTAAGATCCCATAAATCATCAACATCTATATACTGTGCATAGATGTGAGGAAACTGAGGAACATTCCAATGTGCGGAGGAGGAGGGGACAGGCTGGAGGGAGCGCCGTGACAACTGGCCAGCTTGGAGCTTTGGGTGAGTAGATCTTTCTTATTTTAGCACCTAGACACAAACGAGCACTTAACCCTTGCAGTGTTGGGGGTAGCCCCACTGCAAGGGTTAATAAAAAAAATTCCTGGAGTTCTTCTTTAAAAGGTATTAATAATATTGCTAACTAATGCTATAGGGAAGCTAAAATATGGGTCCAAAGGGTCTGCCCCTTACAGACATTTAGACATGTTCACAGGTTGCCTATAGCATATAAAACTTACCTTAATGTGCTCCAGCCAGTGCGTAGACTCCAGATTAGACAGCCAGTGCGATTCCTGAATGATAGGATAGGAGATCTCCTTCAGTTTCCTTAGAGATTCTCTCATTACATGAATATTGTGGATGTCCAGAAAGATCAGCTCTGCGTTCTGATATGCATCTTCACTCTCAAATCCTCCTCCTTTAGTCTTTAACACCAAAAAGGAAACAGTTGATCGTGACAGTGGATTACATGCGAGTACAGAAGTCATCTGTGTAACAAAACACAACCTCCACAGGACACTGTCCACCCCGATATCTAAGCTACATGTATACAGGAGCCAAACTACAAAAAAAAACTATTTTCTAGGACCAAATTGAAGTCAAAAGCAATTGCATAGGTTTGAAAATGAATGATTTTGCTAATAAACGTTTGACACTGAAAGTAAATATATTAATTCTGGTAATTTGTGGCACAAAAAATGATCATTTAAGAAATGTGATTGATAAAGGGGAATGGATTAAATGGTCTATTGCATACAAAATCCATTCCTGTATGGCTAGCATAAGATTGTTGATTGATTGTTGTTGTTAATCATTTTGGATTTGTGATATAGAAGTGTGCCAGTCATGCATTTTAGGCAGGGTAACTTTGTGTGTAAATGAATAATAATACCTTATTGGCCACAGCATTGGCACTAGCCCTAGCATCAAAAATTAAGATTTTATGGGATTGCGCATTGGCATCCATGACGGACTGGAGGTACTTCTCATCTTCTTTACATCTCTTCCCATTGACTCCTGGTGTAGGCTGACTGCAGCGTATGATGCTAGCCTGACTTTCTGGATGAATCCAAGACAAGACCTGTAAAAAAAAACAAAAAAAAAAAACCCCTTACAGTTCAGTGATTCAGCTCACATTCCACCCCACTCAAAGTCGGAGAAAAGTGACATTTCAGGACAAAACAGCTGTTCCAGGGCAGATCGGTTCTCCTGCGCATACCATCTGCGATGCCGATCTGCCCTGGAACAGCTGAGAAAGCATTGGAATGCTTGACCTATTGGCGGTCACACATTCCACCACCAAAAAACTGGGCAGGATTACATTGAAATGTGTCACCACGTCACCGGTCACACATTCCAACCTAGTCACAAACTTCGATAGAACCACAGCCCAGTCCAATCATTTAATCAGAGAAATAGATGATAATAGGCAACATTATGTTCCCCATTATATAGCCCGTCGGCAGTGCGGGGCCCTGCACTGCTGCATATTCCACCAGGGGGGGTGCCCAGGACCGGACCTCACTGGGCCCCCCCACAGCCTCAGGCCCCGGCGGTAGTTCCACCCCTGGACAGGGAGCCGCAGCAGAGGGATGAAAGAGCCACATGCGGCTCCGGAGCCGCAGGTTGCTGACCCCTGATCTAGAAGAACTGTGGTCAGTGCAGCGCCAGAGTTACAGTGCGACAGATACAAACGTGTTTCTTTGAAAGGGTGCAAGAACATGGTACCAGGTTTACCAAAGTATAAAATACGGGTTTTACATTTACCATAAAAAGTCCATTGAGGGGCACAGAAAAATAGTAAATGAAATATATGGACACCGGCACTCCAATAGCAAGTCATCACTTGTTCTGCCTGATGAAGGGGATCCTGTGAGACCCCGAAAGGTCACATTGAGTGTATCATGTTATGCTGCTCATACGTCAATAAACAGACGTATTTGATTTGCCATTGGAGTGCCGGTGTCCAAATATTTAATTTGCTATTTATCACGGTTGCCAGCCTTCGACAGCCGCAGCACCAACCCGTATTATTTTGGAAACAGCGGCTTCGAGTGCAATGGGTTCATGGACTTTACAGAAAAATTGTAATTCTCAGACATTTGTGTTATACCGCTGCCTCCAGGAGGCTGGGACACTGGCAACCAAAAAAATGTTAACCAAACCCCTGTATATCCCCGACGTGTTGTAAGCAGGCAGTACAAAAGGCCAACAACACAGGGGGCGGGGCCTGTGACCCTCCATGGATTTCAACATCCAAATCTCATTTTACTCAACTTCCATTGAACAAATAAGGAATTTAGTCATTTTTGGAAATCTGAGATGTCCAAAAGCAAGCCAACTGAGGGGGGAACAGCCACTGAAAATTCCTACTAGAGAAAATCATACTAGAAGAATATTCAAAAGAATCAGTGCCTGTACAAGGCTGGATGAAAAGGAGGGAAGTATGATCAGAGTTTCTGTCAGCAGATTGCTCCATTAATAGTGCACAGACTGACACATTTTCAGAAGAGGATACAAGAGGCCTAGAAGACACAGTACAGGTTTCAGGCTCAGGCAGCTCAGCTAAAGAAGCTGCTGATAAGATTGATCCTATAAAAATGGGAGTCCCAGGATCCAGATAACAGGTGATGGTACCTATTAAATATGAGGGGAGTAAGGAACAAAGTCACAGGTTGTAGTTGGATTGTCCTCTGGATGTCTTTTAACCCCTTCGTGACGGGAGACGTACACTGTACGTCCAGCCACAAAGGGACCAAATGACTCGTCACGTACACTGTACGTGACAAGTTATTTGCTGCTTTAGAGGGCTGTTAACCGCTGAGAATCAGCTTTTACCATTCATTAATGGATGCCCTTACTACAGAGGCATTCATTAATGAAAGGGTTAACCTTTTTCAGACACCCGATACCTTAATATCGGGTGTCTGAGAGTCAAAGCAGAGCGGGCACACATGCCAGCAAAAGCTTTTGCCGGCATTCTGACAGCTCGTATAGATCGAGAGAGACATCTCTCTCAAGCTATACTGGCTTTTTTTTTTCTTTCACCAATAGACACATAATGTATCTATTCCTGAAAGAAGAATGTTTCAGTTTGCTGATCGTTGTTAAAAAAAAATAAAAATAAAGGGACAAATAAATTAATGTATTTATTGCATTTTTTTTTTAGCTGTGCTGGTTTTGTAAAAAAAATACTACAAATCAAAACTGGGAAAAGTGTTTTTTTTAACGTTTTTTTCCTCTTTTTTTTATATTTTATTTGTCCTAAGTGAGGCGTTAGACACACATATGTGATATAAATATATAGCCCTATCTGTCCTCTAAAAAACAATATATAATATGTGTGGGTGCACTTTGTAAGAAAGTATATTACTGCCGTGGAAGAATCACACAGCAAAAATGTCAAAAGTGTGTCAGTCATTTATGAACAGAAACTAAAAACAAGCTCTGTCATGAAGGGGTTAAAAGCCACGACGCATCAGCTATCTGCAAACAATGATGCTCAAATTGGGGCAAGGCCTTGCGTACTCACAAACCCACTGGGCCATAAGCAGCCCGAGGTGATTAAGTCACATTCGGCAGGCAATGGAAGACAATTATCTTTTAGATTGTAAGCCCTCAGGGGCCGGGCCCTCCTTACCATCTTGTCTTGATTTGTATTGTGATTGTAATGTCTTCCTTATATTGTAAAGCGCTGCACAAACTGTTGGCGCCATATAAATCCTGTATAATAATAATAATAATTAGAGATCAGATTATCAATGATCTGCTTAAAAGCACCAGTAGTAGCAGTGGGAAGGCGGAAAGGGCAACACTCCTCCGCGGATGACATTAGTGCCGAGTATCCTCAGGCAAAACTGTTTAAAACAGCACTCAATAGTCAAGACTGTAAGGTAGCTGGCGTTATTGTGGCCTGACCATCCAAACTCATTAAATGAGGTGAGACACTCAAAAGGTGGCCGTTGTCAGAACACCCGAACGGCAGCTCATTGGCAGCGCATTCTAATTGCTCGACATTTTTTGGCCAGCTCCTTCGATTAGCTGATCCAGGGATGCCGGCCCGAAAGGATGCTGACAGTGGTACCCACTGTGTGAATTTCAGCTGGTTCCTGGAGAACTGGCCGAAATTCGAGTAGTGTATGTCCAGTTTAAGAGAGCTCACCAAAGACTGAGAAGTACCATATAGCAGAGTTCAATACCCAAAGGTCACATATTAGGAATATGTTAATCACAATCAAGAGATCCGCTCAGAGAGTGAGACTGCGGAGATTGGGTTACAACAGAAGCTGAGTCAAAACTAAGAGAAAAAGTTTGTGTGAACATTCTCAAGTCCATTAGTAAATCAGCCTTATTGTGTTTCATTTGGAAGCTAAAAACTGGTTACTATGAGAAAAGCTTCACTTTTAAGCCTCTTTTTCTTATTTATTTTCTGTCCATCCTGAATAGCATGGGATCCTGTGCACGGATCCTCAGCTAATCGGCGCAGAACGGAACCGGTGTCACTCTGGTGACACCTGTATCCATTCACTCTGGTGACACCTGTGTCCATTCACTCTGGTGACACCTGTGTCCATTCACTCTGGTGACACCTGTGTCCATTCAGAAAACAATAAGCTGTAGAGACCCTTGTTAGGTCTATGGGGAATCAGATGTAAACCGAAAATGTTTTTTTATTTAAATTTTTTTCAAATATTTTATTTTTATTTAAAAATTTTAAGTTGTTTATATTTATTAATTCATTTTTTATTAAATATTTTTAACTTTACTTTTAGGTTCTACACACACTACAAGTGATAACCGGTGTACCCACCAAGTACTGAACTCTCCCCCCCGCATCTTCCCCCTACCTCTGATAAGCGCCACACAAGGGGTAAACCCTCTCAATTTTTCAGGGAAGAGAGCTCAGCCTCATGTGACAGCGCAGGCTGTCTCCGCCCCCAAACCGCTCTGCCGGACTGTGATAGGAGGCTGAGCGGTGTGGGAGGAGAGACACCGGCCGCTCACAGCGCTCTCCTCCCGCCACACTTTCTCTCTTCCCTGCTGGGACACAGAGTAGCGCCCAGCGGGGAGGAAAGAAAGCAGGCATGTGCCGCTGTATCGGCACAAAAATGCCACTTTCGGCATTTAGCCACAAGTGCCATTTTCGGCCGATATGTTTCGGCGGCTGATATATTGGTGCATCCCTAACCCAAACAGTTACATTGGGCTTCCGATGGGATCCTCCTGAAAAACTGACAGGCAAATCTGATTGGACCGTTCGTGGGAAAGTTATAATAAACATAATTCTAGTCAGATGCAATTTCACTGGTTTTCAGACGAGCAGGCTTTTATATCTTCTCCAATGGACAGAACTCATGTCCTTAGGGTTAGTTTTATGATTGTCCATCTCAGCCATCTTCTTTGTCTGCTAGCTGAGACAGCCAATCAGAAAACAGTTGCACCAGGACAGTTTCCAGTAAACAAATCCCCAGATGGTAGAAATTCTGCAGCTGAGATGGTGAATCCTTTATCCAATGAAGAAACAGGATAGTAATAACAAACACAGATATTTTGGATATCACTTCAGTGGCTGTACACAGTATTTAACCAGGTGAGGCACTTACTGGTAAACGTCCATTCGCCCTGAATGCGGCCACCCGCCTCAGTTCATCATCAGACATGGTTACTGGGACAACGAGAGTCGCTGGATAGGTGTCACAAAGATCGTAACGGTCATTTATTCTTGTAATTCTCCAACTCTCATTAGGTACCCCCTGAAAAACAGAACACTGACGTTTTATTACAAACTAGGGGGGGGGAAAGGACCTATTCACCTGAACGGATAACCTGCATTGAGTCATTGTGGTTTAACCCCTTCACGGCCGAGGCCTTTTTTTAAATTTTTTTGTACCCATGTTGTGATCCACATTTTAGGCCTAAACATTACTTAAAAAACCCCAACATTATATATTTTCTGAAAGCCAAGACCCTATAGAATAAAATGGCAGCAGTTGCAAATTTTTATGTTGCACGATATTAGCGCAACTCCTTATCAAACCACAAAATCTGGTGTAAAATGCACTTAAATGCCCCAAAACACAATAAAATACCCATTTGTTTTATAAAATATAAAAGATGAGGTTACAAGGAGTAAATGGATACCCAACACGCCCATGTTAAAAAGTGTGTGCTACCATGAAACTGCGACAAATTACAGTCCAGAGACGATGGTTTAAAAGCTCCCACAGGTCATCAGTTTAGAGATACGCATAAATATTGGCCCTAGAATTATTGCCCTTACTCTGGCGTACGTGGCAAAACCCAAACGTGTAGCACAATCATTGTTTTCATACCTAGGCACACTTGACACGTGTTTACCTGAAGACGCACGTGCTCGCAGGGCGGGGGACATTTAAACATTTTTTTTACATTATTGTAACATTTTTAAATTAATTTTAAAACTTTTTTTTTTTTTACCTTTACTTTAATTGCCATCACATGGGGGGGCTTACAAGGTGTGTGTGGGGGGCCCTGTTTACCAGTCAGTAGAAGCGATCTGGCGACAGCTGAGTCACTGGAATCGCTTCTATTGTAAAGCCAGCTGTCGGCTTTACAAATGCAAACAGACTCCCGGCAGTCTGTTTAAACGGGCTCGATGCCAGTGATGGAATACAATCTCAATACAAAGTAGTAAACTAAACAGGAGATTGTAGTCCATCACGGGGGTGAGCTTGGAGCGGTGACTACTTTACAACACACACATGGACCATGGGGAACAAGTAGCCCCCCTCCAGAAGGAAGGACAGTGTCAGCACCAATTCAGAGATGATTGGAGGATCTACAGCCGAGTGATACACAAATAAGATACATTGTTGTTAATAGTTCAGGGACTTGAATGCATTTTTAAGATTTAACTCCTAAGTTTAGTGTCACTTGATATAACTAAGTAAATGACACACAAATTGAAGGCTAACTCTAGATAACACTTCTTATGTGACAGTCTTATTGTCACAGGTCGGCTAGAACTATGAGGTGAGTGGAAATCACTCATCTTATAGTTCTCCTTTAAGTATTTATAGCAATAGCTTTTTATTTATTATATGGAAAAAAAGGTTTTATATCAAATCAATGACAGCCGATCTTTGTAAGCACCCCAGTCAGTGCTGTATGGTTATTCCTAATCCCTGCAATTAAAACTTTTGCAGGACAGCTTGGTCTGCATGTAAATATATAGACAGACAATTATAAATTAAGGCATGAAAAAAAATAAAAATGAAGGAATATTGTTATAGGTATTAACCCCTTATGGTTACAGAATAAAGTATTTTTCAATATAGTGATCCTTTCAGTGTCCCCCTGTCCTTGTGTGACAGTGATTGACAGCAACTCAGCGAAGCACAATGGAAAGCAGTGTAGCCTGGGTGTTGTGTACTTTGGGATCACCAGTGTCATTGCCTACCTACTGATAGCTGGTGAAAATTAGGCTGTTAAGGTGGTCATATACATATAGAGTTTCACTCGTCAGCCCGTGGGCTTTATGAGAGAAAATGACTTGAATGCTCCATCTATGCTAAATAGTGTGGATGGAATAATCTCCCCTGGCAGCTATTGTGTTTAGACTGCTGCAGCATCCACGACTGCTTCAATACCCGAACAGTAACTTTTGTTGAGCCCGGTGGTGCTGAAAAAGCCATTCGCGACTCGAATTTTAAAGTTACATTAAACCCTCCCCCCATGCTGTGTAAGGACTTACCTTAAGTGATGCCTTTTGATCCGATCATCATCTTTCTTCCAGTAGTTTTCAGCAGTCCCTCCAGCGCTGGTGCCAGTCTCTGATCCAGCGCCGACTGCTGCGTCTTCCTGTCACATGGAGTCTGTCCAACGTGCACGCTACCGGCTGCGTGCACTCACTTACAGCGAGCCTCTCCTCTTCTCCCCGCCGGTGATCTCCACTGCCCATATGCCTGCACACATCCTCCTGCACGGCCGTTCAAGAAGGCAATTTCTATAGCCGGGAGCGAGCGGCAGAAACACAGGTAATTATTTACATATTTGGTTACTTTTATTGTTTTACATGTTTTTGCATATATCTAATGCTTGCTAGCAGTAGATATATGTAAAAAAAAAAACCCCCAAGACTTTAATACTACTTTAACCAATTCAGCAGGAATTGGCCAATATAGGAGCGGTGTATAGTCAGCTTTAGAATTGTGTTCAGTCACTGCAGTCATATATTACTGTACATATTATTGAACATCAGGAGGTATACTCAAAGTATTGTGAACTATGTGTATGCTACGCACCTGTCTTCTGTACTCTAGTATAGGGTCATACACCTTCCAGCCATTTTCCACAAAAGCTTCTTTGTATTCAAAGGCAAACAAACGCTGAGGAAGACAGACAATATGTTACTCTAAACAAGTCTGTAATTACTAAAATACAAAAAAAAAAAAAAAACTACAACAAAAGAGATTTCATCCCAGACGTTATGCCATTTGGGTTTTCCTGGGTTACATAAGCAGCAATAATGGTGACACATTAAATAAATAAAATGCTTTTTTTCAACTGCAAAACTGGACCTTTTAAAAACCGACTCCAGCTAAAGCCAAATCCCTTTTGTCTTTGATAAAAGGATTGAAGTTGTCGGGGTTTTGCCAGGAGTCAAAACAAGTATCAGTGAGATCAATGCATGTCAACAAATGTTAAAAAACATTCATTGGACTAGTACTGGGGACGCCATTTGTCACATTACATGTATTATATTCTTAAAGAACTACTGTGTGCAAAGATATTAGCCCTTGCAGCAGGACTACCCCTACACTGCAAGGGTTAATAATATTTTAGACGAGTTCTTTAAAGAACAACTCCAGGGAATACATTTATTAACTCTTTGCAGTTCTGGTTAGGTGTAAAACAAAAAAAAACAAAAAACAAATATCAGTGCCTGCGTTCCGGTGCAGTCAGAAAAGATGCTGCATGCACTATTTGTTCTGACTGCACCGGACCGGAACGCGAAATTGGCGATACATTTTCAAGCAACTTTTGCAACGGAAACCAGAGAATAACTACACTCCGCAAGATACAAGCAATGAATCCTGTGTTTATTGATGCAAAGATCAAGTGTACATCACAGCAAGCTCCCCAGACCAAAAAACAAACTCATCTCACATGTTTCACCAATGTGGCTTACTCAGAGTGGTGAAACATGTGAGAGGAGTTTGGTCCGGGAGCTTGCCGTGATGTACTTAATAAACACAGGATTCATTGCTTGTATCTTGCAGAGTGCGGTTATTCTCTTGTCTCCATTCATGCATGGTGAGCACGCACTTTACAAACTGCACCTGCGGGGGAAATACAGCTTGAGCTGGGCTGCAGAATCGGAGCGGTGAGGATTTTGTGCAATACAACTTTTACTTCAAAATCAGTCAATGCGTTTTGGAGTTGACGTGTATATTGTATACTTGAGACATTTGGGATTTTAAGAAAATGTTTTTTCCACTTCTGTAGCCCCGATGAAAGGGGTGCAAGACCCTTGAAATGTTTTGGCTTATTTCCCTTTTAATGTCTATTTGTTTTTTTGGAAAAGTGCAACAGGTATGAATGAGAATTGGGGAAGATGTTTTACCTATTGATTGCATTATGTCACAGAAAGTATTAACAGGTCTTTGTATTTTGAAAAGCCTCCAGTTTGTCAATGTAATGCAGTTACAGTCATCCTTTCTGACAACACAACCACCTTTTCCTGACACCAATACATGGCAGCATACAATGGGGGCAGAGCCATACCCATTGTATGCTGCCATGTATTGGCGTCAGGAAAGGAAAATTACCGATAGGTAAGTATACAATTTTCCGGTTTATCATCTTACACAACATAAATAAAGGCCTTTGTCTTTAAACTTCATATAGTTTGGTTACTGTAACCCCATCCTGCCTTTAATCTGTATACTGACGTTGCTCCACACTGAGGATATGTTAAAAAAACATCCTAAAATTGACAGTTGGCACCTGCTAGCTGCCAAACCCGACAGTCAATGACAGCAGCTTTGATTCCGACCATTATTTGGGAACCAAACAGAATGGCTCCTTATCATGTGATCACTGTCACAAGTCTGACTCGCTGCTATCTTGCAAGGATCCAGGACATCATCTCTGCTGGCCACAAAGGGATGTCATACCTTCTCAATTGTATATACAGCACTTTCCAACCCCTGATAGATCATACCAAATTGTTATTCAATGGGAAAGCATACGACACAAGGCTCTCAAACACAGTTTTCCGAGTGTGTCCATCTTGCTTGTAGGCAAATCTCAAGTTTCGCATATCCTGGAAAATCAGCAGTAATACAATTATTCATTTGATAAATAACATTATATTTGATAAGAACATCAAAACACAAAGCAAGTAGTACTTCCAGACCACATGTTTTACCTTGCATACAATGTCTATCCCATGTGAATTTTCTCCTCGACTTGCAGCTCCTCCAATTTTTTCAATTCGGCTTATGATTCCCAAAGGGGCATCCAATATCAAGCGATGCTCCTGCCACAAAGATAATATAATATTTGAGGACTCTAGAACCATCATTAGTTATGAACTATTAACAGTCCTTGTGAGGGGCTGCGTCTAACCAGATCGCATAACCTTAAGCCGGGTATACATGTTTTTATGTCATACGTCGCAGGCAGCAGGCAACTTAAGGCCCCGTTCACATTGAGCGATTTATCGCGCGGTAATTCCCGCGATATCGCAGCAAATTACCGCGCGATATCGCTCTCCAATGCTTCTCAATGGGGCAAAGGGTCCTGCTGTCGCGGGTCGTGTGTCGCTACAGCAGGACCCTTTTTGGAGCGGATTTTGGCGCGATTCAAATGCTTTCAATGCAAGCATTTGCGCGATATCGCGCGGCAAATCTCGCGATATCGCGCAAAATGCAAAACGCGCGATTTGCATATCGCGGAGTGTGAATGGGGCCTTACACAGACTCTGCTATAGCCGGGACTCCAACTGTCGCCTTGACACTGGAATTGATTCTGGAGGCTAAGCTGCCGCCACATCGGTCCACGGGCCGGTGTAGTGCGCGACCTCTCCGCCTGACACCCGCAGCTTTGCTGCCCCTACTGTGGGTCCAGGACCAGCATCACTTCCGGTCCTTCAGCTGTCATTACCCGGCTGTAGATGTCAGGGGAGAAGCTATGGGAGCGCAGATTGCAGCTTCTTGGAGAGGAAAGATGATACTAGGGATCTAAAAGAGGCCAAGGTCCAGATCAGGCAACATATTGTACGAGATGAGTTGTCTGGATCCCCTTTTACCCAAAACCACCAACGCAAAGATAGTCACATGTTTCAAACTCCTCCGAATTCAAGGAGCGTGTCAGAATGTGTTTCACTTGTAAGTACGTTCACCAGTGTATGTATTTGTTGCTAAGTCCAAGGGGTCTCGAAAACTCCCATGTTTTAAAAACAACTTGGTCCGCAGAAGGACAGAGGGTGTGAGGGGGCCGATACTGTGGAAAGTTTATACTTTCGGCGTGCTGCATAAAAAACCCTTAAAGACAATCCTATCAAGGGATGTGGTAACACTGGTGCTAATACCTGCAATCTATCTATGGAAGAACCAAGATCTGGTGCCTAGACCAGGCCTGCTGCAATTGGACCCAGGCTTTAGTCCCCAATGAACATTCCAGTCCACAATCCATATAAGATGACAGGCTTGCTAGTATTTTGTTATGTTGGGTACACCCAGCCCTCCCTTGGTGAAGGTGTCGCAGGTCGTGAGGAAGGTTGATCCCTAAGAACTTAAAGTGACATTAAACCCTCAGATTTTTTAACATAAAACAATACTGTAATGTGTGCCTTACTGTAATCCATGGTTGTTTCCCTTCTCTTTGCTGCTCTTCCTTTTAAATCTGTATCTGTTCTCATGCTGGGCATAACTTCTGTTTTGCAGCAGACTGCCTTGTCTCTGAAATGGCTACATGGTGTCTGTGTGCAGGTTTGCAACCTGAGCCAGCACTACAGGAAGAGGCACTCAGCTGCAAAGGGAAGTTCTCCCCCAGCATGAGAAGACATGAGGATTTAAAAGGAAGAGCAGCAAATAGAAGAGAAACAACCATGGATTACAGTAAGGCACACATTACAGTATTGGTTTATGTTAAAACATCTGAGGGTTTAATGTCACTTTAATGAGGGACACAGACCACTGAAAATAATAGTTCTCCTATAAAGGACAAAGTGACTGACAAGGGACATGGATGTTTACTCAAGTTCACATTTTCAGGTTTGAGAGGCAGTCATACTCCTCAAACAATTGTATGAGAATGGGAATGGAAGTAGCTTGTTTCTGTTATGTCAAAATTGCACTCGTTCATGTTCAAATGGAAAAACGCCCAGAGCTGCCCCAATACGTTTGGTGTGAATCCAGCTCAACTCTTCAAGATATGCAGCATGGCCTTGAGGGACAGAGACATATTACTGAAGGAATCTTACCCCTAGAGTCTCAGAGATATAAGAAGTCAGCAGGTCAATCAACCAACACTGCCCACACAAAGCTTTCCTTATCCATTCTAAGTAGAACTGGACTTTAAAGCTAAACATAATATTAAAGATATCAGCTGAACGTGGAAAATATCAATGGGTATAAAACCAACTAAACCAAAGTGACTTCACTAAATGGTCTTACCCGCTCCAAACTTTTAAAGTACAGTCTGTAGTTTGTAACTGTGAAACTCCCCCGGATGGCTCCAGTAAATGGACAGATGTACGTTACATCTTTAGCTACAAAACAGAACACAGAATTTACACTGCGATTCAAACAATGTTCAATCTGATAACAAGCAAGATCATTTCTGTTCAATTGTATTGTACCTGACCATTATTATATAATTAAATACAGTAATACCTTGGTTTACAAGTAACTTGTTTTGCAAGACAAGCAAACATTTCAGAAAAATGTTGCCTTGATATACAAGCAATGTCTTGCAATAAGAGCAACATTTTGTAGAAAAGCACCACCCGAATAAGGCTGAAGCAGTGCGAGCGATGAGTCTGTTTAACGACAATGCAATGTCACATTGGATAGATTCCTTGTTAAGGTTTGACAAAATGAAAATCATTCCATTGAGATAGCAGTGATTCCGTTAGCGATAGTGAAAGTCGTCCTACACAATAATCCTCCTCTCTCTTGTCCCCGTCACACCAGCCACGAAGGTACCTGTAATCGGCTTATTTTTCTTTATATTTTGTACAGAATTATATTACAGTATTATAATCATTTTTATATGAATATTTTTGGGTTGTGGAACGAATCATCTGAATTTCCATTCTTTCCTATGGGGAAATTCGCTTTAATATACAAGCACTTTCGACTACAAGCATTATGCTCCATTATGAACGAATTATGCTCGTAAACCAAGGCATTACTGTAAATGTTCACAATGTTTAGACTAGTTAAGGTGGAGTTTCTGCAGAGTGACAGCTCCTGTCACACCCTGGGAGTCTGCATCTGTAGGAAACCCTGTGAACTTCCACAACAGGAAGACTGTTACATGAAGTGGCAGGCAGGGAAAAAGGAGGCACTGTCAATCAACCTGCTGCAGCCGCCCTGCAAGCAGATACAAAGTGAGGAAGTAAACAGCTTCAGAACACGGGAAAAGCAAAGCATGCATACCGAGAGTGGCAATGCAGAAGACAGAGGATCAGCTGCAACAGCCACTTAGAATAGGGAAGTCTAGGGAAAAGGCGGGATCAATGAGGAATTTACTAGCAAAAGAATACAGGAAAGGCTGAGCACACAGGTAGAGAAAATAGTTTTAAGCCGCCCATCTGGGAGTCTGTTTAAACAGCCCCGATGCTGGCGACGTACACTGTACGTCGTCAGTCACGAAGGGGTTAAGAAGCAATAACATGCTGTTAATGTAAATAAATGTTGGGGGTCACTGACACTTTACGTACAATGGGGGGAATTTATCAAAACTGGAGCAGACAAATCTGGAGCAGTTGCCCATGGCTACCAATCCGCTTCTCTCTTCAGTTTGTTCAGTTAAGTTTTGAAAATGAAAGAGAGAAGTTGATTGGTTGCCGTGCACAACTGCCCCAGATTTGATAAAGCCCCTCACTGAGGGAAATTTATAAAAACTGGAGCAGACAGAATCTGGAGCAGTTGCCCATGACAACCAATCAGCATCTCTCCTCAGCTTGCTCAGGTAAGATTTGAAAATGAGACAAAGAAGCTGATTGGTTGTCTGCTCCATATCTGCTCCAGATTTTGTCTGCTCCAGTTTTGACGAATCCCCCTCAATGGGTCTCCGAAAATATGCAATGCCCTGAATTGTGAGCAGAAAAGAATATTGTGCGTACCCATATCTTTTACCACCTCTCTGGGTAACAGGAGCAGGTCTTCCATTCCAGCAAGCATTTTGAGATCTAAATCAGCAGAAAAGTGAATAATCACGATTAAGGATCACTCTAAAATAATAAGAACAATAAAAATCAACAAATGTACAGTATAATGAATGCAGATCCCTACACCTCGTCTGTAAAACCCTCTCTAACAAAAAGAACAGACAAGACCTCTGGAATATTGGTCTACTGAAAGGAAGAGATAAAAAGTATACAACCAAAATGTCTCATCGTTTTTGTGTGGTTAAGAAAGTCTAGATTGGTATGGCACCTGATAACATTACATTACAGGCACCTTTCAGTTTCTGCACCGTTATAGATTTCTCAAGTATAGAACTATTATGTCCAGAGGTGACAGGTACACAAGGACCATGGGGAAACAAAAGCAGCCCCCTCCAGAAGGAAGGACAGTGTCAGCACCAATTCAGAGATGATTTGAGGAGCTACAGCCGAGTGATACACAAATAAGGCACATTTTTGTTAGTAGTTAAAAGGAGAACTATGAGGTGAGTGATTTCCACTCACCTCATAGTTCTAGCCGACCTGTGACAATGAGACTGTCACAGGTCGGCTCAGTAGATCGGGAGGCGAGCGAACACATACCGGCGCACGCTCACTTCTCGATCTTGTCACAGCTCTCTGCCGTGACAGGGGAGGGGCTGGATTCCCCCCTCCCCGCTCCGATCCTCCAGCACTGACTGGTCGAACGGACGGGGAGGGGGCGGGTACAGCTGGCTCTGCCTCTAGATAGGCAGAGCCAGCTGTCACTCACGCAGCTGGG